CTACACTTCTCTGATTCTATGATCTTCTGCCTATCTCACCTTCCTGGCATCTGTCCCACAGGGCAGCTGTTGGCCATGCGGGGAAAGGGAGTAGCCCATCTGCAGCAGCCCCAGATTCTTTCTTCACCTGCTCCCTCACTCTCCTAGGATCCTTCCCACAGCTGGTGATAGATGGCCCTGCGGGGGATTACAGCTGATGGAGGCAAAACTTACCTTTGTACAAGCCATGCTGATTTTTATTTGGCAAGGCTTTTTCTTCTCTTGAAGGCCAATCTACACATTAACATAATTCATGTAGATCAACATTATTGGGATTTTACTATTTCAAACTGCACCTTGGGGATTGCAAAGAATCTTTTATTCCCTCAAAACAAAAACTCCCTGGTAATGGAAAACAAGATCATAAAGCAGACAGGGCTCTGGCCTAGCCTTCTTTCTATTGGGCTATTTTCCCTAACAATATTTTTTATTTTTGTGGAAGCATTCAAACATGTAGCCTCCACCTGTTGCCTGAAAGGCTTCAGTCCCAAGAACTCTCTACATGTGATTTGTCTTTTTGTACATTGCCTCTAAATGTTTAATAATGCTTTGCACAAGTTCATCTGGGACAGGTCTCTAATTTTCCTGGATTCCCTGTAGATTCTTTAAGAACAAGCCTCTGCTGAATTTAGCAGTATAATTATAATTTAGTGAAAACATCCCGTTTCAGGTGTTAGTTCTTTTAAAACTTTCACGTATTTAAACAGAGCTTAGTATAATTTAAAATATATAAGCACAGACAGCACACCCAATATTTTTTTTACAGTTAAATGATTAATAACTGCACATAATAAAGGTTGCCTTTAAAATAAGGCAAACACAGCTCGTATTCTAGGAAATATATGAGGGTTGGCAGTTCGCAACTTTTTATTCAGAGTAGACCCATGTAAATGAATGAGCATGACAGAGGGCTCAGCCACACTTCCGCTTGCTTGCCCCACCTCTTGCCTCCTGGGAAAACCCGCTATTTGCCACTGAATCAAACAGCTTTCTCCAGACTGACCGTTGGTCCGGTTTAGCGCTTAAAAAAACAGGTTTTTCCAGGAGGAAGCAGCAAGGCAAAGGCAAAACCACTAGTTGAATACCATGTGTCTGGTGCTCCCAATCCTCCCCTCTATTGCCACATTATCTCAGCAAACGTGGGTTGAGGATCGTGATATTTGCCAAGGCCAATGTCCAGTTTGGCTCAGAAGCGCCATGTCTTCACAGCCATACATATTAGAACAGAGGTCAGCAAACTTACTGCACTTTGGGCCAGTGTCTCCAGTGCCGATTGCGCGGCGGGCCAGAGGGCAGGGGAGCGCGTGCCCATACGCATGCACACACACTATTTCCGGCGCACTTCCAGGTTGGAGGAGCACCAGAAACAGCTTATGTGCATGGGCCTGCTCTGACCTGGATGTGCACCGGAAATAACGCTTGTTGTTGTTTAGTCGTTTAGTCGTGTCCGACTCTTCGTGACCCCATGGACCAAAGCAAGCCAGGCCCTCCTGTCTTCCACTGCCTCCCGCAGTTTGGTCAAACTCATGCTGGTAGCTTCTGGAACACTGTCCAACCATCTCGTCCTCTGTCGTCCCCTTCTCCTTGTGCCCTCCATCTTTCCCAACATCAGGGTCTTTTCCAGGGAGTCTTCTCTTCTCATGAGGTAGCCAAAGTATTGGAGCCTCAGCTTCAGGATCTGTCCTTCCAGTGAGCACTCAGGGCTGATTTCCTTCAGAATGGAGAGGTTTGATCTTCTTGCAGTCCATGGGACTCTCAAGAGTCTCCTCCAGCACCATAATTCAAAAGCATCAATTCTTCGGTGATCAGCCTTCTTTATGGTCCAGCTCTCACTTCCATACACATGCGCAAATAACGCTTGCGCATGCGCAAATAACGTGTATGCATGCGCACAAGCTATTTCCGGTGCTCCTCCGACCCGGAAGTGGGCAGCCGCGCAGCGCAGTGCCGGTAAGAGTGGGCGGTGGAAGCGGGTGGCAGGGGTTGCCGTGGGCCAGATAAACAAGTCCCTTGGGCCTTATCCGGCCTGTGGGCCTTAGTTTAGGGACCCCTGTGTTAGAAGCTTCAGGTCTGTTGCAGGAGAGAGTGAGGCCCCTCTCCCTTCACAAGAGCGTAAGACAAGGCTGGCTGCTGGATCAGGGCCAAGGGCCAACCAATGGCCTGCAAGCAGGAAATGAAAGCAACAGTGACTCTCCCCACGTTAGGTCCTTCGCAGAGTGTGATTTAATGATGCTCTGTAAGTAAGACAATCAACCATGAGCCTGTCAGCATCGCCCTTGAGCCAGTGCCACCGACTGGACTCACCCACTTCAGCCCGACTGGGCCAGGCGAGCTGGGGTAGCACTTCCAGAGACCACCTTCTTCACAGGAACAGGTCAAAGTGCTGTGGACTCACAACTCAGAGCTGTGAGCACCAGATTCACTCCCGAAGACAGTCGTTGCACAGCAGAGTATAGCAGAACATAAAGCACTCGGAGAACAGCTCTGTAGAATAACTACTTTTATTCTATCTACAACTATCATAAAAAATATATACAGAGCTAAATGGAGAAGGTGAACTGCACTGAGTGTCTGCAGCTGCTCTTAGCAGCAACCTTATCTATACAGAGATATCACTCTCTCTCTCTCTAACACTCAGTCTCTCTCTCTTTGATGTGAGGTGGAGCGGAATAAGTAGAGAGCAGAAACCGCCCCCTCCTCTCTGGAGAATCAGCAGAGAACATCAGCAGATTCTTGGATATGGGAGGGGTGAAATCTCCTCAGAGCCTCCCCCACAAAAAAACTGCGGTCACAATTATGCGGGCTTGTTGGAACAGAACAGAACAAAAGAGAAACCGGGGTGAGGGGTGGATAGGAAAGCAAATAAATCTTAGCTATCCTTTATGTTTTACAACCTTGTTTCTTTCCCTCTTAAGTGAGCAGGAGGGAAAATGGTTGCCAAGTCCTTTAAGGTGGCAAGTCTCCATAGCTAGTGATTTCCCTTTTTATTTTATTTTTCTTTCCTTATTCAAAAGGCAAGATTCACTCCCTTCAGTGCCGTTTATCATTAAAGGTGTACAACAAAGCAGAAGTTCTCAGCCTAGTCTTCAGAAGAATCCATATGTGTAAGTAATGTGATGCAGCAGTTACTATAGCAATTATCTCTTCACAAGCCAAACTTGAGTCTGACAAGTTGTATTTTATCAGATTTGAAAATAAAAAAAAGGTTGAAGTGTTGGTTTTGAATGGGATTTCTTTAGCCCACTCACAAGTCAAGCTAGCGTGCAGGGCCAGGAGTCTGAATAGGGGTTAAAAAGAGAGAAAAAAAGTTGGCGTTCTGTGCCATGGTAACTCCAAAATCTAAGCAAGGGAAAGAAGGGTTCTGTCACCTGTATATATATTATGCAAATTGAAGGACTCTATATGTATGTTTTTACAAATTTTATTCAGCTTTTGCTAGGCATGGGTGGGGCAAAGAGATATGTAGCAGACTGAATGCCTGCCCATGACAACTAGGATAATTCTTGTGTTACATGTTATGATTTTAGCGGACTGGATTACTGTTATTTTAATTCTGCTTTGCTTCCAGGCAATCTGCTTAGTGAGCATTCATTCTTTTCAAATTGCCTTTTTAGACTGCCCTGTCTCTTTAGATGGTGAGCCTGAGGGCAGGGACATGTGTGTGTTTCGTGTGTGCTTTTGTAAGCTGCTCTGGGGGCCTTTTCTTTTTTAGGCTGAAGAGCAGGGCAAAAAAAAAAAAAAAAATCATTTGTTTATGGTGAGGGTATGGAACGCTGCATCAAGAAAGGGTTATCCCACACTTCCCAGTGCCTTTTTTGACACTTTCCTCACTGCAAAAAAAGTCAAATTTAAGGGTGGGTGTGCAAGAGGAGTGGCACAGGAGTGGCAGGTAAATGTTAATTGTGCAATCTGAATTTATCAATACAGTATGTGTTTGAATGCCATCTGAAAATAGCAGTAGATTGTTAGCACCTTCTGACCATGGTTGAATTTTGTAAGCCACTTTGAAAACCTCCACATGGAGGATGGGAAGAGGATAAAGTTTCAAACAAGTATATGAATAAATAAATTTATGAATCCCATTCATACCCCTCTTGGCTTCTGAGAGATATTCCCAGGTCTGCCCACTCTCCCAACCAACCTGAGCAGTCATAATTTTTCATGGTGATCCTACCGTGCTTTGATCAGACAATATACAGTACTGCCTTCTCCTCCATACTGAGCGCTGGGGGAAACCAGAGTTCATTTGGTTTTACTCAATTGGCTGGCCCTTGTGTCAGTCACAAAGCCGTCCCTCCTCCGCAAGACTTTTCTTTTTAATTATGCATGAGGCTGGGGGACACCTCAAAAAAAGAAGGATCGCAGAACAAATATTTGTACAGATAAAAAAAAAAGATGCAAAGTACTTGAGGAACAAAGCAAACAGAAAAACAAGGCAGACAGCCTGTCTCCGGAGCGTGAGGGGAGGGGAGGGCAGTGGATCACAGGAGCTTAGGAAACTGCCTTATACAGAGTTAGAATATTTACCCACCCAGCTCATTACAGTGGTACCTCGGGTTAAGTACTTAATTCATTCCGGAGGTCCGTTCTTAACCTGAAACTGTTCTTAACCTGAAGCACCACTTTAGCTAATGGGACCTCCTGCTGCTGCCGTGCCGCCGCTGCACGATTTCTGTTCTCAACCTGAAGCAAAGTTCTTAACCTGAGGTACTAATTCTGGGTTAGTGGAGTCTGTAACCTGAAGTGTATGTAACCCGAGGTACCACTGTACTGTCTATATTGATGAGCTTTCCAGGGTTTCAGGCAGGAGATTTTCCCAGGGAGACAACAGGGATTGAACCTGGGAGCTCCTGCAGGCAGGTCAGATGCTCAGCCACTGAACAGTATCATAGAATTGGAAGGGAGTTGGAAGGGACCCCCAAGGGACATCCATCCCAACCCCGTGCAATGCAGGAATCTTTCGTCCAACATGGAACTCGAACCCACAACCCTGAGATTAAGAGTCTCATGCACTACCGACTGTGATAGCTCAGTATGAGACTCAGGATCGTGGGTTTGAGCCCCACATCGGGCAGAAAGATTGAACCGCCCTGAGACCTCTGGGTATAGGTCGGTATATAAATTCAGTAAATAAACTCAAAAAAACTAAGATCACGGCCACTGGTCCCATCACCTCCTAGCGAACAGAAGGGGAAGAAATGGAGGCAGTGAGAGATTTTACTTTCTTGGGTTCCATGATCACTGCAGATGGTGACAGCAGACACAAAATTAAAAGACGCCTGCTTCTTGGGAGAAAAGCAATGACAAACCTAGACAGCATCTTAAAAAGCAGAGACATCACCTTGCCAACAAAGGTCTGTATAGTTAAAGCTATGGTTTCCCCAGTAGTGATGTATGGAAGTGAGAGCTGGACCATAAAGAAGGCTGGTCGCCAAAGAATTGATGCTTTTGAATTATGGTGCTGGAGGAGACTCTTGAGAGTCCCATGGACTGCAAGAAGATCAAACCTATCCATTCTGAAGGAAATCAGCCCTGAGTGCTCACTGGAAGGACAGATCGTGAAGCTGAGGCTCCAATACTTTGGCCTCCTCATGAGAAGAGAAGACTCTCTGGAAAAGACCCTGATGCTGGGAAAGATGAAGGGCACAAGGAGAAGGGGACGACAGAGGACAAGATGGTTGGACAGTGTTCTCAAAGCTACCAGCATGAGTTTAACCAAACTGCAGGAGGCAGTGGAAGACAGGAGTGCCTGGCGAGCTCTGGTCCATGGGATCATGAAGAATCGGACACAACTAAACAACAACAAATAAACTCTATGATTCTATGTGTCTATCCCTACTTAACTGTATCCCTACTTGTGCTGGATCCATATGTGTCTATGTGATTACATGAGCAAAAGGCAGAAGCTTTCTTCACTGCAGAAAAAAACCAAAACCCTGCTTGCATGAGGATGCAGTTGCAAGCAGCAGTACAGTGGTACCTCGGGTTAAGTACTTAATTCGTTCCGGAGGTCCGTTCTTAACCTGAAACTGTTCTTAACCTGAAGCACCACTTTAGCTAATGGGGCCTCCTGCTGCCGCTGCGCCGCTGCTGCGCGATTTCTGTTCTCATCCTGAAGCAAAGTTCTTCCCTGCGAGATCACATTCATCCGGTACTATACCAGCTGCACTGGCTCCCGGTGGAGTACAGGATCAGGTTTAAGGTGCTGGTTTTAACCTTTAAAGCCCTATACGGCCTAGGACCCTCGTACCTACGGGACCGCCTCTCCTGGTATGCCCCACAGAGAAACCTACGGTCTGCAAATAAAAACATCCAGAAGGTCCCAGGCCTCAGAGAGGTTAGGCTGGCCTCAGCTAGAGCCAGGGCCTTCTCAGCTGCGGCTCCAATCTGGTGGAACGCTCTGTCACAAGAGACTAGGGCCCTGCGGGACCTGACATCTTTCCGCAGGGCCTGCAAGACAGAGTTGTTCCACCAGCCCTTTGGTCAGGGCGCAGCCTGACTCCCTCCTCTGGCAACCTGCACAGAATTTTGCTTAACGGTTGCCATCAACTTGATTTTAATTAATTTTTATAATGAAATATTTTTAGAATGTTGGATTATTTGATTGTTTGATTATTTGATTGTTGTTAGCCGCCCTGAGCCCGGCTTCGGCTGGGGAGGGCGGGATATAAATAAAATTTATATTATTATTATTATTATTATTATTATTATTATTAACCTGAAGCACTATTTCTGGGTTAGCGGAGTCTGCAACCTGAAGCGCCTGTAAACTGAAGTGTATGTAACCTGAGGTACCACTGTACCAAGGGCCAAACTACACATGGCATTATTCACGCTTTTTAAAAAGGCATGCTCATACTGGTCACTTCTGTTCTGAAGTGAAAGCAAACCCAGGTTCCCAATCCTGGGCATGTTTCTGGTCCAGAACTGGACCTTTCTCTGTTGGCTGGAGCTTCCCGTAGCTGAGACCAGGATATAGCTGGGAGGGCGCATGCACCGGTGAAGTTCAGCAAAACCCCGGAGGTTGTTTATGTACACCGCAAGGAGTGTGTCAGCAGCTGGATTCAGTGAGAGCCTTCCACCTGGGTCACTTCCAGGCTTGTTATGTACACAGCCTCAAGGGGATTTTGTGCATTGGACAGCGGCTTTTGTCAATCTCACCTGGCCTGAACCCAGCCTGTAGGAAGTACAATTCCTGTCGGTGTCTCTTTCACGTTTCTTGCCCAACAGGCACAAGGCGTGGTTTAAAAATTGCTTGTGCCCATGCATGTGTGTGCATCTTCTGGAATGGGAACATTGCTCCCCAGTAAAGTCGTACCTTGGTTCCCAAACGCCTTGATACTCGGACGTTTTGGCTCCCAAACACCGCAAACGTTCTGGTTTGCGAACGTTCTTTGGAACCCGAACGTCCGATGGGGCTTCCGCGGCTTTCAATTGGCTGCAGGAGCTCCCTACAGCCAATCAAAAGCCACACTTTGGTTTCCAAACGTTTCAGACATCGAACGGATGTCCGGAACAGATTCCGTTCGACTTCCGAGGTATGGCTGTATAATGTTTGCTTTGGGAAAGTATTTTTAAAGCAATCTCCTTGCAAATCCCTGTCCCCATGTGCATATTTGTGGGGGGACGGACATATTTTTGGGGGACGGGAAATTGTTTCCCAAATTGGTCTTAATCCCAATTTTTGAAATAGCACCTCGACCATCTAAATACTATGGCATCCTAGCTGACATTTGTTTGCTGCCTGACTGCATGCTCTGCTCCTGTAACTGTTGGCTGATCCACTGTGCCATTGTGCAACGTTCACAAAAATTCTAACTGATGAGGAGAAGTGTTAGTTATATAACGCATACAGATAGTACGGCTTCTGTGAGAGAAATTAAAGGTCAGTCTGGCAGAGGGAAAAGCCTCACAGGAAGTGGTGTGTGCATCCTGAAACAGGAAACGAGAAGGCTGAGTTGAAACTCAGAAGATGGGGGGAAGGGGCTGGGGATGAAGTCCTGGGTCTATCTGTGGACTGGAAAGAAGCTCTTCTTAGAATACAAACAAGCCAATTATATGTGTTCTAAATAAAAGGCTCCACATGCTTCACTTTCGGGTGCCTAATCCATTCCTAGCAGCATCTGTAATAATCACAACAGACGCTGGTAACTTAAACTAGGCTATATCAGGCGGGTGGCATTAGAGAACCTTAACAAAACCCACAAACCTCATTTACGATACCCGCAATTTTTAGCTAAATCATTGCCCCTCTCATTCATCTTCTTAAAAAACAGTGCCTATGGCAGCTATCCCAACAAAATAAGGAAAAGGGTCCGTTGGTTGACTGGGTGGCTGATTCCTTTGTATTTTGAGCAGAGGTTTTGGAATAAATGTATATGTGCATTGCCCATCTGCATGCTCCTAGTTCAGTCGTGCCCCTGAATACAAACTGAATTTATTTGGTGTATCTTCTTCACTCTCTGCGATATTTGCAGAGGTTTGTTCCCTAACTCTGTCATCATGCTTCGTTGCTTTGCTGAATTAGTAAATAAGATGCTCTTACCAAATCATGGAGCTGGTTTTTACTAAACTCTGGAAGAGGGTTAAAAGTGTGCGGGAAGTTCTCAGTTCACTCATCACCTCATCTTGAATGAGGTGGCCTTTGTGAAGCTGGTGCCACTCCTTTTTTGACCTCATTCTCTTTTCTGTGACATGGGGTTTATATTGTTGTTGGTTCAACTTACAGAGTTGGCTTGTGAGAAGTCTCCTGAACACTTGAAATGTGCTGTATGAATGTTGGGTGTTATTATGTAAGCTGACACTGCAACTTTGGTCTCCTCCTGATGGCCTGATTGAGGCTAAATTGCTTGCACAAAGCTTACACAGAGGTTAGACTATGTCCAGTGTTTATTGAGCATTTATTCCAATTCAGCAGGGAAGTTATGTTATGTCAATGAACATTGGTCCTGTTTACTTGTGTACATTTTCCTGTTAATCATTTGCTTATACCACACTTTTTAGAACATTTCCCTGTCACTTTTCTAGCACTAAAAAATCTATTGCTTTTTAAACAAATGGATTTTTTTGCTCTAGGGCAGCAAAATGCTTCAATCCACTGCACAGACCTAAATTTCTGGTATGCCCTTGAACCTCTCCTGCAAAATACTGACAGTCTGCAGGTGGCCTTTCAGTAATGGATGTGTGGCTAGGGTGTGTATTCTGTTCAATTAATAACATTTTTTTGCAGGAATTCAAACCTAACCAGACCCCCAACTCTTTTTATGTTTAAATTAGATATTATCCTGCCAGCCCAAATAGGTCAAGTGTCAGATACAAATCCAGAATGCATCAGCATTCTGTAGACGTAATGAGAAAGTAAGTACTGTAGCTACTAAATGTTGGCGGATATGAATATTTTCTGGCTTTGCTTGTACTAATGTGGGTTTGTGTTTTGAAAAATAATCAGTAGAACAGTGGTTGCTCATGATGAAACGTTTATTTTTATCCATTAACTGCAACTAGAATTTTGTTCTGCCTTGGAAGGGAAAGACGAAAGCAAGGATTTATTACTCAGTGGGCTGTTGGCCAACTTGGGTGTGTTATAAGGGAATTAGGCCCCCCAGGCCATTTTGGCCAAGCCACACCCACCTGTTCTACACCAGACATCATATATGCCATCAGATGCTTGGAAAGTTTATAATAATAATAATAATAATAATAATAATAATAATAATAATTTTTATTTATACCCCGCCCTCCCCAGCCAAGGCCAGGCTCAGGGCGGTTAACAACCAATAATAAAAACAAATTGAAGGAATACAACTTAAAAACAAAAATTAAAATACAACATTAAAATACTGAAACCTCATCGCAGAAGGAGAAAGGAAAAGAAAAAAGAAAGAGGGGGAGGGAATCAAATTGGCTCCAAGCCAAAGGCCAGGCGGAACAACTCTGTCTTACAGGCCCTGCGGAAAGAAATCAGATCCCGCAGGGCGCTGGTCTCATGAGACAGAGCGTTCCACCAAGCCGGAGCCAGAGTTGAAAAGGCCCTGGCTCTGGTTGAAGCTAATCTAACTTCCTTAGGGCCCGAGACCACTAGGGTGTTGCTATTTATGGACCTTGAGGCTCTCCGTGGGGCATACCGGGAGAGGCGGTCCCGTAGGTACGAGGGTCCTAGGCCGTGAAGGGCTTTAAAGGTCAAAAGCAGCACCTTAAATCTGACCCTCTACTCCACCGGGAGCCAGTGCAGCTGGAAAAGCACTGGGTGAATATGCTCCCATGGCAGAGACCCCGTGAGGAGCCTCGCTGCAGCGTTCTGCACCCGCTGGAGTTTCTGGGACAGCTTCAAGGGCAGCCCCGCATAGAGCGAATTACAGTAGTCAAGCCTGGAGGTGACCGTTTAAAGGAACAAGTTCTAGTTCCAGTTCATCCTGTCCAAAAAGGAACCAGTTTCTGTTTGAGTTCATCCTTTTACAAAACATGTTCATATTCTCCACCAAAAAGCAAAACTCAGCATTCAGGAATACAGTGGTGCCTCGCAAGACGAAATTAATTCGTTCCGCGAGTTTTGTCGTCTTGCGATTTTTTTCGTCTTGCGAAGCACGGTGTCGGGAAAGTTTTGGAAAAGCTTCAAAAATCACCAAAGTCTTTAAAAACCTCAAAAAAGGCCACCACACCTCATTCTATGAGTTGCTCCTCGAAGTCAAGTCGCAATTGTATTAACGGTGTTAAGAAAAAGGAAACAAGCTTGCAAGACGTTTCCGTCTTGCGAAGCAAGCCCATAGGGAAAATCGTCTTGCGAAGCAGCTCAAAAAACAAAAAACCCTTTCGTCTAGCGAGTTTTTTGTCTTGCGAGGCATTCGTCTTGCGAGGTACGACTGTATTACAAGCTCCTGTGGTGAAGTATAGTGTCCAAAAGGGGTCACACACAATCAGTGAGATATCTGAGGGGGTGCTCATCAAATTTGCAGATGATACCACACTGGGAGACGTAGCCAGTGCCACAAAAGATAGAATCGGGATTCAAGACGACCTTAACAGTTTGGGGGACTGGGCCAAAACTAACAAAAATGAATTTCAATATGGAAAAAAATGTAAGCTTCTGCACGTAGACAGGAAGAACCAGAAGCACAAATATAAGATGGGGGATACCTGGCTTACTAACAGTACATGTGAAAAGGATCCAGGGGTCTTGGTGGACCACAAGCTTACCATGAGTCAACAGTGTGATGTGGCAGCAAAAAAAGCTAATGCTATTCTAGGCTGCATCGACAAAAGTATAGTGGCTCAACGGACTCCCTCTGGAGGTGGTGGGCTCTCCTTCCTTGGAGGTTTTTAAGCAGAGGTTGGATGGCCATCTGTCACACATGCGTTAGTGGAGATTCTCGCATTGCAGGGGGTTGGACTAGATGACCCTCGGGATCCCTGCCAGCTCTACAGTTCTGTGAATGTCAGGTGTGGTGTAGTGGTTAAGAGCGGTAGACTCGTAATCTGGTGAACCGGGTTCGCGTCGCCGCTCCTCCACATGCAGCTGCTGGGTGACTTTGGGCCAGTCACACTTCTCTGAATTCTCTCAGCCCCACTCACCTCGCAGTGTTTGTTTTGGGGGAGGAGGGAAAAGGAGAATGTTAGCTGCTTTGAGACTCCTTCTGGTAGTGATAATGCGGGATATCGAATCCAAACTCCTCCTCCTCCTCCTCCTCCTCCTCCTCCTCCTCCTCCTCTTCTTCTTCTTCTTCAGCAGCTGAAGTTTTCGCCATGATCATATTTCCATGCTAGAAAAGGCTTGCCCTGTTTAATGTGTGCCAGCCACAGAGCTGTTAAAGGCAGAAGGCACTATTTTATTTGTTCAGGTACCTGCACTTTTCTCTGCCCCTGTTAGAAAAGAACGAATAGGGAAGATACAGTAAATGCCTTCTTTTGACTCCTCCACCCCTGCTCAGCTATAATCAACATTCTGTAACCTCACAGGCCGTTGTTGTTGTTGTTGTTGTTGTTGTTGTTGTTGTTAATGTCCTTTTTAAAAAATCACTAAGTTGTATACCTCTATGTACCTAGGGCATTCCCAAGTATTTAAATAGCACTCTTATTTTTGCATGGTCCCATTTCTCTTCCAAACTGATTGACACTCAAGCACCTGAGCTTGTTATTGGAGAGAAATTTATTCAGTCCAAATAGATGGATCAACTGCAAAATCTCTAATGTGTAGAATGAAATAGCCTTATAAACTAGAATTACAGCGGAGGGGTCAATAATTTGACATATTCTTCCCCAGGCAGCCTGAAGGAGGCCTCCCTTCTGGCAGTGTGTTCCTTTTGTGTTACAAGGAAAACTCCTCATGGATGATATTATATCTATCTATCTACCGGTGTCTGTCTATCTATCTATCTATCTATCTATCTATCTATCTATCTATCTATATCAACCTTCCATTGTATGTTTTCCTAACTCCCACTGTTTGTTTAAGAAGTCTCTGCTACAAGAATATTTCCCCCATACAGTCTGCATGATATGGCCCTCTCTCCCTTGAACAAATTCGAAAGAATTATCTATTTCCCGCTTCCTTAGCTTAGTCTGCCATTAAACCACCATGTGCCTTTTAAAAGCGGCATGTTGCAAACGTTTGGATTTATGGCACTCTACAAAATGCATTTGCAAATCGTTTCCACAGACAACTTTGCATTTTGCAATAGGTTCTGGCAAAGCTGCCTTAAAAAAACAAAAAACCAACAACTTTTATATAGTGTGCCGATCAGATTGGATTTAGGGACGTAAATTAAATCTATCCCGATAATATACCATGGCAACTTAGAAGGATGCTGCAGGATCTTGTTGCCACAGAGAGTCCTTCTCAGCCCTGCCCAGGATGGCTATAAAGTAGAAATACCTGATTTTAGTACTTCGTTGTTGAGGTCAATAGCATCAAACCAAGCTGAAAGTGAAGTCTTTTACTGCTAGCATTGAATTGCTCTTTGGAGAGCTGTAACATTAATCAGAGATACTCAGCTTCGGTTAAGAAACCTGCAAACTGCCTATACCTGGAGGCTTAACACACACAAAACAAATGTATGCTCCATCGATTTTAAACTTAAATGCACAATGCAACTAATAAATGGCTACATGTTTTGACTAGCGCGGTAAGAAGATAGCCTGATTAGTCATGATCAAAAGGAAATAATCAGTGTGGAAAAAAGAGGAGTTAATTGACAGCTCCCAGTGTGTTTCGAGATAAATTCTGTTGTTCAACAGGGGATACATAATTTAAATAAAGCCTCTGTTCTAGAACATAACGGCATAGCATGGAATACAACATAAAAAGCTCTTTGTATTGTCATAGGATAGCTATTAATGCCCTAGATTTGGTCGGCAAAGCCTTGCTTTGGAACCAGCTGCATAACTTGACTCCCAGCTTTTCACATAAGCCTTCAGTGAGTTTCATTGGCTAAAGTAGTTCTTTATGTCAAAAACAATTAAGATATGAATGCCGAGTCCGGCGTCCTTTTTAAACTTCCTTGTTGGAATCCAATGGCAGTATCAAATGACAAATAGTTAGGGTTGTTCCTTATTCCAGAACAGCAGAGTTAGCTAAGCAAATGGTGCTTCTTTCAGTAGCTGGAAACTTCAGCTGTGTTCCTTGTTTTGGGGGGCTTGGCAATTTCTGTGGGGCAGAGTTTATGACTGACACAAGGGCAGGGCACTCAGCACTGTGCAAATCCAGTTTGGGCTGCATATAGCATGTGGGAAATGCCCCCCCGAACTCAATCTGGGGAGAGTGAAGATATCTAAAATGTAGTGAGCATATGGTATGAATTATCAGTTGCATTTATTTATAACGTTTATATGCCAGCTGTTGGGGCTTAGCCCTCATAAGGCAGCAAACAACTAAAGGAGAATTCGTTGGAATGCATTTGGCTGTAGAATTTTATTTATTACATTAATATACCACCTTTATCTTCCAAGGATCTCAAGCTGGCGTCCATGGTTTTCTCCCTTCCCATTTCACCCTCACAACAACCCTGTGAGGTAGGTTAGGCTAAGAGATGCGGACTGGCCCGAGGTCACCTAATGAGCTTCATGGCTGAATGGAGATTCGAACCCTGCTCTGCCAGGTCCCCGTCCAACACTGACCATTACGCGGCGCTACACAAGTCTCAGAAATCAGTGGCTGTACAAAAGAGGCAGGGTGGAACAAATGAGTCTTCAAGGCATGCTTGGAAGCCTGTGCAGTTCCTTAGAAAGGGGCCACAACTAGGGAGGCCCTGTTCCTTGTTCTCGCCAACTTAATTGTCTGTATTTGTGGGCACTTGAGCAGGACCTTTGCAGCCCATCCTAATAAATGGGCAGGGCCATATGGGTGAAGTCAGTACTTTAGATAAGAAGATTAGGGCTTTAAAGGTTAACATCAGCACCTTGAACTGAGGAGTTTGTATAAGATTGGTGTAATGCAGGAGTGTGGAATCTTTTTCAGGTAGTGCTGTGATCAGACAGAGACCACTCTCCATCACAATTCAAGGATATGCTGCAGCAGCTAAGAAAAGCCCTTAGAGCAGGCATGGCCAAACTTGGCCCTCCAACTGTTTTGGGACTACAGTTCCCATCATCCCTGACCACTGGTCCTGTTAGCTAGGGATGAAGGGAGTTGTAGTCCCAAAACAGCTGGAGGGCCAAGTTTGGCCATGCCTGCCTTAGAGGATGGGGCAGTGAGGGGTCTTTCTTCTTCTTTGGCAATCACTCATAGCTGAGTAAGATTGTCTTCCATAAACACAGTTTTAACAATGAGTCCGTAAGTGACTGTGGAGGCCAATTCTGGACCCACATGTCCTTCCACAGTGGGGACATTGGTTTGCAGACGGGAGTTGATCATGGTGTGGATTTGCCAAGCGTGCCTTCCTCTTAGCACGTTTCTCCCTTGCGTCCTGAGTTCGAGTGTCTTCAAAGCCCATGACACCTTTGGTAAAGGCTGTTCTCCAACTGGAGCGCTTGCAGGCCAGTGTTTCCCAGTTGTCGGTGTTTATACTACATTTTTTTAGATTTGCCTTGAGACAGTCTTTAAACCTCTTTTGTTCACCACCAGCATTACGCTTTCCATTTTTAAGTACGGAATAGAGTAGTTGCAGTGAGGGGTATGACCTGGATCAACCCTGGAGTTAGCCCTGCTGGCACTCTGGTCCTGAATTAGAGAACAGCAAATGGCCACCAGCCCTCTTCCCAAAAGAATGTTTCCTTCCTTGTCCCCAGGTGCCAACACTCTCCCTCCTGCAACCCTGACTATTGGATGAAGGGAGGTGGAGATCTGTAAGCCCTGGAGAGGCTGGTGTCACTTAACAGGCCTCAGTTGTTATTAGTAATCAAATTTAGTTTGAACAATGAATGCAAGCGTGTCTGTTGATTAAATTACTAAGAACAGGCATTATAACCGCACAGCGATTTATATGAACTCCCATGAATAATTAAATCTATATTTTAAAATATATATTAAAAAAAGCCTCCCCCTTTTGTCAAAGTGATGGAAACCTCGGGGAGAGAGTTTACATATTGGTTTTTTTTCCGGCTGAAGCTCTTAACCAAGTACTGATTGACTCCTGTATAATTTTAGAACGAGTTCTGTGCTGTTGCCATGCTGTATTATTTGAATATGTGATTAGCATTAATTTCCTCCTGCTTTTGCCTGTAGCGATGCTGAACGCAGGGTTGAAAAGTGATTCAGTACTCACTTGTGGATACTCTCCAGCTACAACAAAAGGAACAATCTAGCCGGGGGGTGTGAGTGGGTGTGACAAAAATAGCATCCCCTTGTTTTCGGACTGTTGCCACTTACTGCCTAAGCGGCAGGGTCCTTCCCGAGGTGTCTACCTAAACTCTAGCCCAGGGGTCAGCAAACTTTTTCAGCAGGGGGCCGGTAGAATAGGGGGAAGGGTCTCATGGGAGGGGGTCTCCTACCCGCCCCCATAAGCTTTTGACTACAATTGCCATCATCCCTGACCACTGGCTACGCTGGCTCTCTTATCCTGCCTTTCTTCTCTTCTCTTTTCCCTTCCCTTTCATCTCTCTCTCTCTCTCTCTCTTTAAAAGCAAATGTTGTGTAAATCTGACACATCTTAAATTGAGCCACAACCCACCCATGGGCCACAAATCACTACAGCGAGTGGCTTGGAACACGTTCCATGATTAATTAAACTGAGACACAGAGGCATCCATTTGAAGTACAGGGCTAAATCTGAAAAAGAAGCCCTCTGGGATCCATGTAAAATACGCAGTCCTCCCCATTACATTGGTTTTAGTATAAAAAATGTAATAATAAAACAGTTGGGGGGAGCGGCCAAAAGAATATTTAATGTTTCAGTTTTGATTTATTGCCTGCCCTTCACTATAAGGTCCTAGGGCACGTCACAAGAATCTAAAACCCAATGTAAGAAACAAACTACAATCAAATTGTAGAGTAGGTCCTAAAAATATGTATGTCCTTGAACTCTGATGATGCCTCTTGCTTGTCTGGATAGATAGAGAAAGGTGTGTGAGCATCTACAAAAACTAGCTTGCTGTGCAGAGATAAAAGTGCAGATTTATTGCTCCTCCCACTTTTGCTTTTGGCCCCACCCACCACTGTCACATGGTCCTCGGAAGAAAATGGAGCTCTTCAAAATTAAAGCAGCTCCTCACCCACCAGTTAAAGACCAATGGATTCATTGATCTAAAGGAGATGGGGAGGTCTTAAGAGTAGACTACTTTGGGATGGGTGTCTTTTTTACTGTCGGCTTTTAGCTGTGTGGTTTTAATAATTCCTTATGCATTTATTTATCCATTACGTCCACCTTTCCATCCAAGAAGCTCGAAACAGATGAAAACCCAAAAGCCGTAATACGTACAATTAAAAACAAAGCTGCGTCAACAATTTCCATAGCCAAACAACCTGAATCAAGCTTTGATTCGTCGGGCCTAACAATATTCTAATCAGCTAAAATAAACTTGCACATTGCATGCATTATCTTGGTGCTCCTTACCTCTCTGTCAAGTGGAACAGAGTAATTATCCTGGCATTGCTGATGAACGACTGAGAGCGGCTCAGAGGCTTTAAACTGGGGCAGTTCCTAGGCTCACTCTGCTTCGGCTCAGATTGAGCATGGTGTTGATCTTTGATCATGAGATCCTTTCTACACACACACACACACACACACACACACACACACACTTCCCTAAAGCTGCTGCCCAGGCTGCATCTCAGGGGCGTACCTAGGACTCCGAGAGGTTGGCCACAGCCAAGTGTGCAAGCCCATGGAGGTGCAAAAATCATGGGTCTCCACTCTGGCTCAGAGTGCTTAGGAGCCCGTCTATATGACAGAGGAGGAGGAGTGGAGGAAGAACAGAGCAGACCCAACCCCGATGGTTGCAAAGGAAGTCACTGGCAGAATGCGAAAGGCAACAAAAAGCACATTTTTTGTGTGGTCCATGATCTCACCCAGGGCTGCCAATACAGCTCCTTGTCAAGGGCACAAGTGAGCCTCTGCCTCCTTCAAGCCATTTTTAATACTGTGGGAGGGGTGTAGGATCCGTGTGTTTTCCCCTATGGGGCCAAAAAGCAGCTGGAGGGATCTGGGGGGGGGGGGAACTATTGGAGAGGGAAAGATTAAAATGCCTCTCCCTCTGCCATATTGCAACTTGCATGAGTGCTTTAAGACAACATTGTGTGTTGGGAGGTGGCTGTATGTGATGAAGGGTGGGGCAGGATCTCCTTCAGTTGGGCCCAGTAGGAGAAATGCAAGAACTCTTGAAAGCCTGCTATGATAAGTTTGCTAAGCATTACCTTAAAAATAAAAGTTTATTCTGTCCTGTTTGTGTGTTAATGTGCATTAATATATACGGTACTTTTAATCTACACTAAAAAATATATTTGTTAATGTACTTGCTATTCTATGTACAGTGGTACCTCGGGTTAAGTACTTAATTCGTTCCAGAGGTCCATACTTAACCTGAAAGTGTTCTTAACCTGAAGCACCACTTTAGCTAATGGGGCCTCCTGCTGCTGCCGCGCCGCCGGAGCACGATTTCTGTTCTCATCCTGAAGCAAAGTTCTTAACCTGAAGCACGATTTCTGGGTTAGCGGAGTCTGTAACCTGAAGTGTATGTAACCTGAAGCATATGTAACCCGAGGTACCACTGTATACACATAATGACATGACGCCTCTTCCCAAGGTCATAGAACAGCAGTGGAAGCTCTCCCTATTGAATGCCCTCCCCAGGGACGTATGCCTTGACACCTATTTTGCTATCCTTTATGTGCCAAGCGAAAATCTTTTTTTTTTTAAAAAAAAAAGCTACTCAAACATTTTAAAGCATTTTTTGTTACCTTAAGCATTTTAAACACTCTGACCTTTAATTGCATGTTTATCAGCTAGTTGTCTTGCATGTGTTTGTTGTTTTTAATTTCTGCAAGCTTTCTTGAAATGATTAACAAAAGGAGGCAAATAAATGTGTTTAAACAGATAATTTATTTATATTAAATTTGTATGCTGCCCTTCATCCATGGATTTCAGGACAGTTCACAACATAAAAAATACAAGATAAAATGCACAACTGCCATGTGCAGTTGCAACCTCATCCACCCTTTTGGTTTAATTTGAACAGTTGTGGGGTGTTTGTGTTGGGCTGAAGTTATAGTCTTGAAAGCATTGCAAGGGAACAGTGGCAGGCAAAGCACTCTTCTTGGTTAGATGTTGCCCAAAGCAGCTATTCTGCATTCTCCTTTTTTCACGAGCCTGTAGAATTTCACCCACTTGTACAAATGACATGGGTGTTTTAAATCTTGGGACTGTCTTCTGATCGCAAATCATACACTTGAGATTTTCCTTTCGTGCCCTTTGACATAACTGCGAGCCAGCAAAGAAATCCAATCAATCATAAGGTCCCAATGTGACATTTTCTCCCTGATAACAAAGGCCACTTTCTGGCCCGGTAAAAGCACCAGGTGGCAGACCCACTGCAGCCTCGAGGGCTCTGGTTACATCCAGCTAATGGCCAGTCCACCCATGACGAATTTGCACACAAAGGCGGCCAGCAGTCTCAAAGCGCCACACCAGTCCGAGCTCCGTTGAAGTTAATGGGGCTTGTGGGCTTTGACGACGGGGCTGTCCAGCAGGGAGCTCTTAATCCCTGCTCCATCTTTTCAGCGTCTTTATTTTATAGACCGTATGGAAGATGGCGCAGAGAGATAAGGTGGCATTTTACGGGGGGGGGGGCGCAACCAAAGGCGAGTGAGCATGAAGGTCTGTTTTGGAAAACACAGGTGCTGAGTGTAAACAGAGACAGACTCCTGTCTAGACAGTGTGCTGCTGCAGGTCTACGAAAGGGAACTGCTGAGAGTACATCTACATCCCCTCTGAATGATGGCTATTCATGAGTTTTAGCATTCAGCATTTATATAGGAGCTGCACTTAAAAGAGACCAAACTGGCTAGACCAGTAGGGCGACTGACCTGACCTCTTCCAAACACTTTTATCAAAAGGCAGTATATTCAGGGAGGATGAAGTCACTGATGTTGTTATCCAAACATTGTCTGCAATAAAGTGGTTTTTTTTTTTTAAATAATCTTTTTTTCTCATGCTGCTTTAACTTTGGGCCAATAGAGATCATTGAGGGCGGACAGACATGCAGGCAGAACAATTGAGTTATTGGTAAACAGGGACAGAAGTATTATCTCTGGTTTTTTAAAAATCTGGAGATTTTTTATTTTTCATTTTCTAAAACAAGCAACGAAAAACATTATGAGCTTCTATTTCTCAGGCTGCGTACAGATGGTTCTGTGGCACCCCTGCTGACAAATGCAGTGTGTGAAGTATTTGGAACAAGAGCAACTGCTGTCTTAACACTGTTGTGGCATTTAACCCTGATCCAGGAGCAGTTGCTTTTGCATGATTCAGCCATCGATGAATGTGCATAAGGGTCTTCTTCTTCTTCTTCTTCTTCCTCTTCTTCTTCTTCTTCTTCTTCTTCTTCTTCTTCTTCTTTGGTGATTACTCGTAGCCGAGTCAGATTGTCTACCATGAACATGGTTTTGGGATGGGTTTTTGAAAGATGCCTGTGCTTGAATTTTTTTATGTGTGGAGATCAGTGTACAGTGGTACCTCGGGTTACATATGCTTCAGGTTACATACACTTCAGGTTAAAGACTCCGCTAACCCAGAAATAGTACCTCGGGTTAAGAACTTTGCTTCAGGATGAGAACAGAAATCGTGCTCTGGGGGCGCAGCAGCAGCAGGAGGCCCCATTAGCTAAAGTGGTGCTTCAGGTTAAGAACAGTTTCAGGTTAAGAACAGACCTCTGGAACGAATTAAGTACTTAACCCGAGGTACCACTGTATGCTGACCAACTGCCAGGCTTTGGGGAATCAGACCTCTCCCACAGTGGCAGCCAAGAATCAGAGAAACAATAAAAGTTATTACCAAGCAATTTATTCAATTCACAGAGAGCGACGAAGGGATGTAGTCTTCCCTAAAAGATGGTGTTGCTCCAAGTAAAGTCCCTCCCCCCTTCGTCTCCCCTATTCTATGACATTCCTGCGCTGGCTAATCTGAGCTTTCTGCCCATG